TTGAGTCCTGGTTGCTCCATTTCTGATCCAGCTCCCTGCTAATGCATCTGGGAAAGCAATGGAAGATGACCCACGTGCTTGGGCCCCTACACTCACGTGGGAGACCCGGAGGAAGCTGCTGACTCCTGGCTTCAGATCAGCTTAGTTCTAGCCATTGTGGCCATTTGGGGAGTGATCGAAGAACCCTCTCTGTCTCTCTGTCTCTGTCTCTGTCTCTCTCTCTCTCACTTTTCTTTTCAAATAAATAAATAAATCTTTTTTAAAAAGGAATAATCATTTATTGACATACATTCTATTTATTGTAAACCAATCATTTAGAACTATCCTCCAAGACCATACTAAAATAACTTGAACTCCAAATGCATTCCAGCCTCAAGAACATACACAGAGCTATAGTTTGAGCCATAAAAAAAAAAACACACACAGAATCCTAGAATCCTAATTTAGAATTTAACATACTGCAAATCATCTAGGGCAAAAAGCTAAAGAACATGAGACAAGAGTAATTGAATGGGCCTGTGCCTGCAAAAACACGTGGTTGGTAGTTTTGTCTTCCTTAGAGGTTTTAGATATTAGTAGGTGGCACTTGATTAAAGACTTTAGAAAAGATCATGTGGACAAATGTGATAGTCCCATAGGAAAACATGATAATGAAAATTTATTGAGGCTTTTAGTTTATTTTCTATTTAATCCTCACAAAAACTCAATCAGAAAGGCTCTGTTAACTCCATTATACAGTGAAATTGGTTCTGAGGGACAATATAACTTGACTACAGTAAGATAGTAACCCAGCAACCAGATCTCCTGAACACAAGTCAGGAGCTTGTTATATGACCTCATACATTAATTATCACAAATGGACTCATCAATAATAAAAGTAGAGGTGGGTTTTTAGCTCAGCAGTTAAGACACCAGTTAAGGTACCCATGTCCCATATATGAATGCCTAGGTTCAACACCTGGCTCCAGCTCTTGACTCTAGTTATCAACTAGTGCAGATGCTGTGAGGTAGCAGTAATGGCTCAAGAAATGGAGTACCTGCTACCCATGTGGGAGGCCTGGATTGAATTTCCAACTCTCAAATTTGGTCCCAGCCCAATCCTGGGCATTGAAATCCTTTGGGGAGTGAACTAGCAGATAGAAGCTGATTCTATTTCAGGAAAAAAAATGTAAAAATAATAAAATGAAAAGAGAGAGTGATATATGGTAGAATTTTCAGAGGCAATAAAAAATAATCTAGTGGCAGATGATGAGATCATGAAGAGCTATATTACTAGGGCAATAATCATTTCTTCACTAGCAATCTGCCTGTTGCACCTATGTGTGCTACTGGCCTGAGGACCTAAGTCCAGACATGTGTAGAACATGCCTCAACCTGCCAACAAAAAGTACACATTCAGACCTTGATGGATTGAAACGTCAATCAGCAGCCCCTAGGTTCAGTGCTGTGGCATAGTAGGCTAGGCCTCCACCTGCAGCACCTGCACCCCACATGGATGCAATTCAGTTCCAGGTTGCTCCTCTTCTGATCCAGCTCTCTACTTAAGGCATGGAAAATCAGTGGAAGATGGCCTAAGGGCCTGGGCCCCTGCACCCAAGTGGGAGACCTGGAAGAAACGCCTGGCTTCTGGCTCTGGATCAGCCCAGCTCCAGCCATTGTGGCCATTTGGGGAGTGAACCAGTGATGGAAGATCTTTCTATCTGTCTATCCCTCTCTCTTTCTGAAACTCTCTTTTAATAATAAATAAATAAAATCTTCTTTTTTTAAAAAAAAAAGGCAATTCCTATATTGTAGCATTGCCAGATGGTGTCAAAGGCAGTCTATAATCCCATTTTATTTGAAAGAATTCTTTTTTTAAAGAATTATTTATTTATTTGAAAGCCAGAGTGAAAGAGAGAGACAGAGAGAGAGAGAGAGAGAGAGAGAGAAAGATCTTCCATCTGTTGGTTCACTCGCCTAAATGGCTGTAAAGTCCAGGGCTGGATGTGGCCCAAAGACAGGGGCCAGGAGCTTCTTCTGGGTCTCCCATATGGGTGCAAGGGCCCAAGCACTTGGGCCATCTTACATTGTTTTCCCAGGAGCATTAGTAGGAAGCTGGATCACAAGTGGAGCATCTGAGACTTGAATTAGTGTTCATATGGGTTTCTGACATTGCAAACAGTAGCTTAACCTGCTATGCTACAATACCAGTCCCTGGAAGAATTCTTACCTAGTGATAGAATTGTTGCCATTTGGCCAACAAACGTTTCTTCAAAGAAAGGTTTTTTAACTCAAGTCAACACACAAGAGCATAAGATAAGGAAAAACTCTATTTTTAATGGAATGCCATTTTATAGAGATCATTACAATAACTCAGTACTATTAAACCCTGAAACTATTAATATAAATGATCTTGGCACAAAAAATAGACAGAGTTCTTATGTACCTATAATCTAAATTGGCCCACATTAAATTCAAACACAAATGATGTCCTTGGGTTTGTTGTTGTTGTTGTTGCTAATGCTTTGCTTCCAAAATCTTTTAAATCTTTTTTTAAACACATGACTTGAGCATGTTTGAAGATGGTGGCAAAGAAGAAGGATCCACATACCACCCTCACCCTTTGGTTCAAAGGCATCTATTGATAGGAAATTTGCTTCAGGCAGTCGTCAGCCAATTTTTGAACTACATCATTAACTTGCTATGAAATCCTGCTCCTTGGAGATACTTTCAGAACCTTAATACCATACTGGCACCTCACCCTGCTCTATGTACATATAAATCTCCCCCGCCTAATCTAATAATTATTCTTCTAATTTTTTTCTTGACAGATAGTGTTAGACAGTGAGAGAGAGAGAGAGGTCTTCCTTGCGTTGGTTCACCCCCCAAATGGCCGCTACGGCCGGCGCACTGCACTGATCCAAAGACAGGAGCCAGGTGCTTCCTCCTGGTCTCCCATGCAGGTGCAGGGCCCAAGCACTTGGGCCATCCTCCTCTGCCCTCCCAGGCCACAGCAGAGAGCTGGACTGGAAGAGGAGCAGCCAGGGCTAGAACCCAGTGCCCATATGGGATGCCGGCGCCACAGGCAGAGGATTAACCAAGTGAGCCATGGTGCCAGCCCCAAAAAAAGGCTATGCACATGTATGAATGTTTTCACTTCATTCATACCTGCTTACATTTAAAGGTATCAACTAGATACTGCTAAAAAGAATATCACTTTACACATGGTTTATAGTACTGTCAGCATGCCCAGCCTCCATGCTTAAGTAATCAAAAAACCTTCCTGCTGTTTATAGTAAAATAATCTAATGATTGCAGCTCAGCAGACAAAACAAGGTGCATGGGTGCCCATTAATAAAATCAGGGAAAAGAGTAAGGCTAGTTTTCATTAGTAAAAACTCTATTTTTTTATACTTTCATCTTGGGAAATCTATAGGTCTAAATTTTCTATAATTCCAGGATCCTATCCCCAAAACTTCTATCAATGTTCCTGAAAGTCACCCACAGCCTACCTCCTTTGTGTCTCAGCTTACAGTCGTGTCAGTTGTGCACCTCACAAACTCTAGGAGTAGCAGCCACATTGTAAAAGTCATAGATGTATTTATAATCACAATTTACAAATTGGTAAGTGGCAATAAAATGTGAGGGTTTTGTTCATAAAATAGGTTTGTTATGTTAATTTTCCAAATTAAATAGTGTTTTGAAGAGAAGGCATAGCTTTCTAATTCATACTAAAGCAGTATATAGATTATCAGTGATCTTGTCAGAAGCAAACTTAATTCACATTAATCAGTTACATTGATCATTAGATTACAGAGAGAACCAGGAGTCTTTGTTTTCCCTATCAAGAAATAGTTACCATAGAGAGGGGAAAGAGTTAAACAACTACTGTCACATCCCCAGAAAAGTGACTTTTATATGTATAAAGGCAGAGTTGGAAAGAGAGAGAAACAGAATGAGAGAGAGAAAGTTAGTTTCCGTCCTCCAATTCACTCCCCAAATTGCTACAACAGCCAGGGCTGGGCCAAGCTGAAATCAGGAGCCTGGAACGCCACCCTGGTCTTCCATGTGATTTGCATCAGGGTTTCCCATGTGGGTGGATAGTACTTCGGCCATCACCTGCTGCTTTCTCAGACATACTACAGGGAACTGAATCAGAAGTGGAGCAGCTGTACTGGCACACATTGGAGATGCTGGTGTTACAGGTAGTGGCTTAACCCACATGCCACAACATCATACCCAGAAACTTTTGATATTATATGGACAAAAGATGGAAAGGTTGATATTCTGATATAGCAAGAAGCTGGAATCAGGAGTATGTTAAATTGGGGAAAATTAAAACCTACCACACTTAGCTATGGAAAAAACAAGCCATTGGGAATCTCTTTAATTCTTATGTATAAAATGGGGAACAATTACATCAAGTCAATGAACATACTCATCATATGAGTATAATCAATAATTAAATAATATATCAAGGGCTGGCGCTGTAGCATAGCAGGTAAAGCTACGACCTACAGTGCCAGCATCCCATATGGACCCTGGTTCAAGTCCTGGCTACTCCACTTCCAATTCAGCTCTCTGCTATGGCCTGGGAAAGCAGTAGAACATGGCCCAATTACTTAGGCCTCTGCACCCAGGTGGGAGACCTGGAAGAAGCTCCTGACTCCTGGCTTCAGATTGGTGCAGCTCAAGCTGCTGCGGCCAATTAGGGAATGAACCAGCAGATGGAAGACTTCTCTCTGTGTGTAACTCTTTCAAATAAATAAATAAATTTTAAAAAATAAATAAATAAATAAAATGTTGATGAGTTATCAAGGAACATCTTCACCACATTAAAACATTGTTTTAATCAATTTATGATTTCTTAGAGTTTCTAGAATGCACTTTGAATGTAGAAAGAATAACCACTATGGTTAGTTCACAGATCTCTCTCTCTCTCTCTCTCTCTCTCACACACACACACACACACACACACACACACCCCATCTTTCCATAACAGTTTATCTTATTCTCCACAGTGCTCCTATATACCTAAATGTGAGAAAAACTTTGAAGAATCCATGTCCCTGGTGAATGTCGTCATGGAAAACTTCAGGAAGTACCAACATTTCTCTTGTTATTCTGACCCAGAAGGAAACCAGAAAAGCGTCATCCTAACCAAACTCTACAGTTCCAACGTGCTGTTCCACTCACTCTTTTGGCCTACATGTATGATGGCTGGGGGTGTGGCAATCGTGGCCCTGGTGAAACTCACACAGTACCTCTCCCTGCTTTGTGAGAGGATCCAACGGATTAATAGATAAAAGCAAACATGGATGAAATAATTTTTGTTAAAGCTCAAATACTGTTTTCTTTCATCTTCACCAAAGAACCTTAAGTTTGTAATGTGCAGTCTGTTATGATTTCTTTAATATATTCTTCTATGTAGAGCAATAACGCAAAAGCTGTTCTATATGCAAACATGATGTCTTTATTCAGGAGAAGAAATAACTGTTTTGTGTTGGTTGGTTGTTCTCATAATCTTGTTTCAGTGCTGGACCTAGTATTTCCTTCTCTTGTTCCACCAAAACAGGCTCAGTTACTCATTTGCCAAGCTTTGTGGAAGAGTGTAGATGATATTGATGGGATAAGGTTGGTATTCTCAGTTGTAAGATTTCTTGAAGACAATATTTCATCATCTCTTGTTTACTAAAGCTATAGCCAAAAATCTTTTTCTTTTCTTATTCTAAATGGAGCCCCATAGCAAATGAGAATCAAAATTTCCCAATTAAAAGGTGTTAAATATTTTCCTTGTATTTTTACCATATCGCTGGAAAGAAGAGGGGAAACCTAGCCAGCTACTTTTCTTTCATTACTTTTTATTCATAACTTTAAACTTTTTAACTGATTTCAAAAAGTAATGTTTTCATTAACCAATTCTATAATATCTTCTTGTGATTTAAATAGGAAATTAACAGAGCCCTTTTCCATTTAAGACCCTGCTACTGTGTGAAGAAATGATATTTAAAAGGAGTTTCATAGCCTAAGAGCTGACTGAATGCTAGTAGGTGCTCCATTTCAATCCAAAAATGTCTGTTGCTGAGATTCTTGTGTGAAAAACCCCAATTTCATTTCAACTGAGTTGTTAGATTGTAAAGTTAAAATGTTACTTTCTGATAAAAATGGATGGACTTGTTTCAATGGGTAAATCTATTGTGGCAAATTAACATGTTGGAATATTGTTCTTTGGGAACTTATTATTGAAATAATGAATGTGTAGTCTCTCCTTCTGACCAAGTGTTCGCTTGTGGGATTTTAAAACTATGTACACAGTATATTTGTCTCCTATACATGTTTTATTTTTCTATTTACAATTCTTTTTGTTTTTTGGTTGTTATATTTTATACACAGAATATACCTTTTTCCTAACACACATTTGAATTGAATAACAGATTTAAAGGAAGCCTTTGTTCACATTGCTATTTATATTGTGTTGGGGGGGCGGGGAATGAGGGGTTGGTTTTAAATAAAAACATTCCATCTTTTATTTAATATCAACATCAAAAGGAGAAGACAAACATCTATCTTTCTCATTTATATTTAAGTACCTTTTTGTAATGTAGTATATTACATTATTATCTTTCTCATCTATATTTAAGTACCTTTTGTAATATAGTTTTTTAGGTATTGCAAAATTTTACAAATCACTTTGTGAAGTGAATGGTAAAACTAATATGATGAAGTGGAAGTTATTCTGCAATATTGTAATTTATAGTTTGACTTTTCATAAGCAAATAAATCCCTAGGGTGTGATCAGGTCTCAAATGTGTAAGTTAACATTTTTTAAGTCCATTAATCACAAGATTTGAATAATTCTTGCATTCTGGGCTGATAGGCCTATAGCAGTCCAAAAACCTGTAATCTGCTAGCCCTAAAGTATTTTAAGAGATTATAAGAAGTTCCCTTTTTAACACACAAAAACATACACATAACATTACAAAATGAAAAATATGGGAAAACTCTTTACTCTTCTTCTCCCTTTAAAACATAATTCTGAAGATAGTAATCTTTGGGATAATGCAGCCAACAATCCATAACCTTTAATATCCCATGGGCTTCCCTTCAAGTGATCCAATGTGGGCTCATCCTGCAAGGTCCACACTGTCAGGATGGTAGGGCGACAGTGTTCTTTGACAATAAACACCAGAGACAGTTTTGGTGAACATGTCCATTTATTAGCAGTTAGACACAAGCTTTTATAGGGCAGGCAAAGGGGAGTAGCTAGCTCAGGGTAGCAACACTAATTCTAAAGGATAAAGCTGATACTGATGCCGCTGTGCTTCTCCAATCAGCTTGAAGGTCATGTAGCCCACATGGACTTCCAGGTGGTCTTATGAGTCTGGGCCACATCTAGCTAACAGTTACAAGGCCCCTCAACAGGAAACAGGGGTGGGAGAAATGTGTCTGGGGCCCTTGCTGCCTGCCAGCAGTCAGATCATATGTGGGTCTCAGTGTGCTGAGTCCTCAACAAGGGTTTTTCCCAGGGAGCATGGTGTGCCATGCTCTCTTGACCTCCTGCATAGGCTAGTAGGCAGGTACACTTCCAGCCAGGTACAGGATCACCCACAACTCAAGGGTGAAATAAATGTGAATGAAATTATTAGATAGGTTTTCCTCCCTCTGAATTTTTATTCAAAAATAAAATTGGGGGAAAATTGATATTTTAGTTAAGAATGTAGAAATCTGAAGGACACACACTCACACACACACATAAAAGATATTAACTAGTGCCTTCTTGAATTCCAACACAGCAACAGTCACTTAAATAATTTAGTTATGTACACAACTAAATGCTCATTATTATAGGAGAAACACCCGGAATCACAACAATATTTTAAATACTTTACATGTTAATCTTTATAACAACCCTATTGAAGGGGGCACTATTATCTCATTTTGGGGCTGAAAATGTTGAAGCTCAGAAATGTTAAATAAATTCTGCAGGATTAAAAACTGATATTATGATAGTGGGGAGCTGAGAAAATGCTTATCTTTCTAATATGGCAACCATTTCCAGAGCTGTGGGGTCTTTCTGCTAACATTGGGTTAGCTGAGGTTTGAAAGAGTTTAAAGAAGAAAGAATATTGAATTGGAAGTCAAAAGAGCTTTGTTTAAGCTCTGGTAACTAGGTAATTTTTTGCTTCTCAATTAGTCTCTCGACTTCTTTATGAAATTAGGAGGTGCGGCCAGCTGACCACTAAGGTTCTCTTTAACACTAACGGTGTATCTTAGGCATGTGAAAGGAGTAGTAAACATTACTCTCCAACATTCAGAGCACAGGTCTGATTCTCAAACAGATTCTGTGTATATTAATCCACAGATTAAAAAGCAGCCTCCCTGCTGACATTCCCAATAACCTACTTGCCTCTTTAGGTCCAAAACTTTATTTATGTCTGCCAGAAGCAGAGCTCTGAGACTTCACATTATTCAACACAAATGGTTTCCTCAAATAATATGAATGCCTATGCTTCCAAATCATTTTCATTATCCAATTGGCACATGCCATCTAAAACTTTATTGATTTCAGATTCCCTGAGTTGCAATTGTATTAAAACCAGAAATGATAAATGTACCAATGACTTCTTGCAAATAGCTATAATAAAAAGAAATGATTCTATAGAAAGCTACTGGCAAAACACTGACTGATGGTAATAATGGTGTGTGCAATCATAAAATACTTCTTATGTAGACCACATGACATTTAGCATTCTAGCATGCCACCCTTTTCCCATTGACATCAATGACCAAAACAAAAAAAACTAATTCATTGCATTTATAAAACAAATATTATATATTATTTTCAGTATGTCAAGCAAAAAATACGTAACTACATTCCTTTGAGTAAAACATCCTGACACTGTAATCATGCTATTAAATTACCAGAGAGGCCTATGCAATAGAAAAATAATATGAATAATTAACTGAAGTAAGTTAAAACAGTTTAAAGGAATTATTTGTTACAACACAGCACAGATTAACTTCTCCTCTCCTTCACCAAAATACTAACGTGAACAATGTCCAAGCAACTGAGGTAGTTCTCATTGTCCTGACAGGGAAGAGGTTAGACATTATTCCTTATCTTTTCAATATCTGCTTTCTTCCCTCTCCCCAGGTAAAATATTTCAGTAAGAATAATCTCATGGGGCCGGCGCCACGGCTCACTAGGCTAATCCTCCGCCTGTGGCACCGGCACCCCGGGTCTAGTCCTGGTTGGGGCGCCGGATTCTGTCCTGGTTGCTCCTCTTCAAGTCCAGCTCTCTGCTGTGGTCTGCAAGTGCAGTGGAGGATGGCCCAGGTCCTTGGGCCCTGCACCCGTATGGGAGACCAGGAGGAAGCATCTGGCTCCTGGCTTCAGATCGGCGCAGCACGTTGGCCACAAAGAGCTGGCAGTAGCGGCCACTTGGGGGTGAACCAACAGAAAAAGGAAGACCTTTCTCTCTGTGTCTCTCTTTCTCACCATCTAACTCTGCCTGTAAAAAAAAAATAAATAACCTCATGGTTCTACAATAACCACTCCAACATATGTACCACATGGGAAATTTGAAGGAATAAAAGCTTCAGGATTCTCCTGAAAAATTTATCAGCATAACATGTATAGCAGACATTGACAGGAAATGTACATGTTGAGTCTGTTTCATCCTTCCATATTTTCAGCAACTGTAAAAGATAATACAAAGTATGCAAAGCATACAACACTGCCTTATCTTATTGAGTCTATAATGTACTGGCAAGGTGTTGAGAAAACACTGTGTGTTGGGGCGTGTGTGTGTGTGTGTGTGTGCAAAATGCAATTATTAATAAGTGTAGAAATCTAGTGTAAATACTAGTAGTATCTAGTCCTTGGCGCTAGAATAGCTCTAAAATATCACTTTGTCCAAAACTCACACCAATGCATGAATCCTTTCTACAATATCCTCAGAAGGGATCATCTAGTGATAGGGATGGTTACTAACTGAATCCCGCCAGTGATGAAATATGTCATCACTTAGTGTTAGAAAGGTTACCTGCCAACAAGTTGAAGTTTGCCATCCCATGATATCTACTCTTCAATTATGCACAAAATAAAACCAATTATCTTGTCGCTCTCTTATTTTATTAGTGTTATTTTATTGAGAAAAATGAAGGAGGAGTTGAGGAAACAGAAACTTCCTTTTGCTTAAAATACAAGATCATGAAAACAACCCACTCAGCCGAACTTAAAGCATAAAGGGAAATTTGTGAGGGTAGCATAAATGACATCAATTTTACCAGTTAAGAATGGATCCATTAGAATCTAAATGTTCGTGGATGAATTAAATTGATGAGCTAGCTAAATATTTTTGCTGCCATGTGACTTTTAATCCTTCTGAAACGTGGTGATGTGGCCTTCTGAAAGGTAACAATGTCTGAAATTCCACACCAGGCTCTTATTCAAGTTTCTGGCAACCATACTAGGATTACCTAAGAGCATAAATGCATTCCTAACAAAATGTTGCTACAATTGCCATGGGTTTTTCTTGGCTAAGCTACTATTCTCCAGTGTATTGCTAACAAATTGGAAGAAATGTCAGCCTGTGAATTCTAGTTGTAACTTCATGAGTGTTTAAGTAGGAAGAGAAATAGAGTCATCTAATTAGAGTTTCCAGAAGCATTGTTTAACCAGATCCTATAAAACAAATTCAATGCTTGAGACCTTGCAAATTATGACTTTTTACCAACACCATTTATCAGGGTCATGGAGAAAGCGTCAAGATCCTCTACACAATTTCACCAATTGTTGGCAATAAAAGTCCCAAGTTACTATCATCATGTCTCTCTCCTCTCTCTCTCTCCGCCTCCCCAAATCCATCCCCCTCCCCATGTAAACCATACCTCTTCTTTCTTCTCTTGGTTGCTTCTTAATCTCCATATACCAACAAAGATAATCCTGAGCAACTACATGTCATAAGACCCTTTATCTATAACCACAGGAGAAAAACATATCATTCCTATCAGTGATTTAAAAAGCCACTTCTCTTTGTATCATATGTCCACTACTGAGCCGACTAGTATAGCCCAGGGGATAGTAAACCCCCACGGGCCAGACCACAGAGCATTATATTCCCACATTATATATGGCATTATAGGCTCACATCTGTAATGATGAAGGTAGGTCGTGCAATTGGCAGCGCCACCACCAGAAGAATAATTCCTCTTAGAGAAATTTATATATATATATATATATATATATATGTATATTAAAGAACAGTAGAATGGGTGCTGGCCAAGTGAAAATAGCTGCTGTCCACTACAGGCAACTGGGACAATATCACACCCAATTCTTGCAGCACAGATTTTGGTCAAACAGAAAACAGCACCATTTGAATGGGAGGAAAAACAAGGCTACCAAGAAAGTAAAAGATTAAAGGGAACAACTACTCAGAATTCACTTTGCACATTTTTTGTGATGCTCTCAATTATCTCACATAATTTAAAAGGGAAAAATCGTTTCTGATTTTCACTACTTGAGAGCTTCAGTAACATTTTGATTTTTGTTTGTTTTTTTTAAACTTTTATTTAGTAAATATAATTTTCCAGAGTACAGGCTATGGATTACAATGGCTTTTTCTCCCCCATAACTTCCCTCCCACCCGCACCCCTCCCATCTCCCGCTCCCTCTCCCATTCCATTCACATCAAGATTCATTTTCAATTATCTTTATATACAGAAGATCAATTTAGATACATTAAGTAAAGATTTCATCAGTTTGCACCCATACAGAACATAAAGTGTACAATACT